CGATGATTTATCGAGAGGCATTCCAGCGAAAGATCTACAACACCGTTGGAAGAATGGCCCAAAGTTCCTGAATCAACCCAAAGAAGATTGGCCTGAACAACCAGCTATGCCAATCGATCCCGCGGAACTCGATAAAGAACGTCGAAATACCCAAGCAGACTTTTCCTTAAGCACCGTACCGACAGTAATTGACCCAACGAAATTTTCGAAGTGGAAGAGATTGGTGAGAGTGACGGCGTGGATCTTACGATACATGCGAAATCTACGATTAAAAACAAAACCCGAAGATAATGTCGACCCGTTAACAGCTGTTCAGTTAGAACAGGCTGAAGAGTTATGGATCAAGACAGCACAAAAAGAGTTATACGAACGTGTTAAGAACAAAGAGTTCAATATGCTTAGTCCATTCACTGATGACAAAGGAATCATAAGAGTCGGCGGACGAGTGGATAAAGCTATCGTAACGTATGATTCGAAGCATCCAGTACTTCTTCCCAAGAACCACCACATTTTATACCAGATTACCAAAGATGTACATCAGATTACTCACACTGGGATAGCGTCGACAGCGGCGAAAACAAGAAGAAAATTTTGGATTATCGGAGTGCAAAAATTGGCAAAGTTAATCAAGAAAAAGTGTATTTACTGTAAGAAGTCGCATCCAAAGATTGAATCGCAAGTTATGGCTGAACTGCCGAAGATAAGATTGATGCCTCAAACACCTCCATTTTACCATACAGCTTGTGACTATTTCGATCCGTATAAAGTCAAAATTGGAAGAAATAAAACCACTAAACACTAGGGTGTTTTGTTTACTTGTCTGAATACTCGGGCAGTTCATTTGGAAGTTGCAACAGACTGTTCAACAATGGAATTCATCCAAGTACTCCGAAGATTCTTCGCGATTAGAGGTTACCCTTCATTAATGTTGAGCGATAATGGAACACAACTGGTCGGCGCAGAGAGCGAACTAGCAAAGATGATCCAAGGTTGGGATGTGAAGAAACTCAAGGAGTATGCAGCTGATAAAAGAATGGAGTGGAAATTCATTACACCTAATGCCCCACATCAAAACGGATGTGCCGAATCGTTAGTAAAAGGTTGCAAATTAGCCCTTAAACAAGCCATGGGAGATAACCTTCTCACACCATTTGAATTGCACACCGTACTGCTTGAAGCAGCAAATCTGGTAAACCAACGACCAATTGGCAGACCAACCAACGACCCCGATGATGGTACATACCTATGTCCGAATGACCTTTTATTAGGAAGAGCTTCCTCGCATGTTCCACGAGGACCATTCCTGAAGACAAAGAACACGCGTCATAGAGTTGAATTCTACAACAGATTCTTGACTCGTTTTGGAAACGATGGACCAGAGACGTCTTCCCCTGTTTAGTTTCACCAAAGAAATGGGATGTTTAACGATGCGATGTTAAAGTCAACGATATTGTCATGTTAGTTGATTCGAATGCAGTACGAGGCAATTGAACGATCGGAAGAATTATTGAAGTTCATTCAGGTAAAGATGGAAAAGTTCGAAATGTAACAATAAAAACACAAAATGGTAATTACCGAAGACCTATTACTAAGATCTCAGTAATACACCCCGTGGACGGAGAATAAAATGAGAACAATGTCGTCATTGGGGTGGAGGATGTTTTGCTAATTTAAAAATAGATAAATGATTACGTCATTTAACAGACAAAGTCACGTGACAGAAAATAGCGGGAAATAAACACGTTGGTTTTAAGCTGTTTACTCGAGGTTTAACGTTCAGAAATAGGTTTATATTTGGCATATTGTAAAGTGATATAGGCCAAAGAAGTAAGTTCATGTTGTTTATTATTACTAATTTACTTTATTCAGTAGATAATTCTTGTATTTATACTTTTAGATCGAATACTACTACTAACTACTAAAAACTACTATTATTATACGATATTTGGAAATTATTTGTGGTCACTTTACATACCGGTTTCTGATTCTGGCGAGCCATATATATATATAAATATAGCTCACTTCCCTTGTGGTCGTTTGAGCACTCTGACCCCATTACGCTCTGCGCATGTCTGGATGCGTTGAGTCACCGTGTTGTATCACATGCCTTGGTGAGAGCAAGTTCATGGGGTATAAATACGAGTGTCTCACGTATCTAGATGTGTACCAAGCTGCACTGACGAGGCGTTGAACGCCGAAACATGCATGTCTGCAGATTGTACTATATATATATATATATATATATATATATATATATATATATATATATATATATATATATATATATATGTAATATATATATATATATATATATATATATATATATATATATATATAAATATATATATATAGATAAATATATATATACTGAAGACTATTTTCAAAAAAATAGTCGATGAGTTGACGTAAGGTAGAAGAGCGCTCAATACCATAATAAGTAGAGCGGAATTAATTCAGTCAAGGTTTGAATGTTTGCGTCGCTACTCTGAGTTTCACGCTTTACGCGATCATCAGGCAACTGCAGTTGCCTGATGATCGCGTAAAGCGTGAAACTCAGAGTAGCGACGCAAACATTCAAACCTTGACTGAATTAATTCCGCTCTACTTATTATGGTATTGAGCGCTCTTCTACCTTAGGTCAACTCATCGACTATTTTTTTGAATATAGTCTTCAGTATATATATATATATATATATATATATATATAAATATATATATATATATATATAATATATATATATATATATATATATATATATATATATATATATATATATATATATATATATATATATATATATATATATATATGATATCCTAAGTTCATATATCTCGCCTATTTATACATATTTCAGACCAGATATTTTTATTCTTTCTACATTAAAGATGCTGTAAAATTCGTAATGTAAACATTAACGCTTTGGTTACATTTTGAACTGCTATATCTGTAAAATATATATCTAACACTTTTCTGGTTCGCTATGCTTGTAAATGAATATAAACTCTACGTTTCAATTCAAAAAGGTTTGAAAGATGCAAAATTAGGGCAATGTTTATATATGCGGGTCCTCCTTTGTTATTAGAAGAACTGATCCGCAGAACGAACTTTACAGCATCTTTAATAGTGCGTAAATATAAATTCGTCCCCGAGTTGTTTGTCAGGTAGAAAGGGAGTTCGCAGCATGAATTTTAAACAGCGTATCATTTTTCAATAAATATTTTACTTGTATGTATCAGTTTCGATGAAGGTCATAAGAGACCAATTTAGTTTTAAAAAGCTAGCAAGAAGTATACGAATTTCAATTTTTATAACGAGAATTCCTTACTTAATATTCGATATTAAAAATGCTATTTTTGAGACAAATGTTTTAGAACAATTCACCTACCATCTCAGAGATTCATCGGACATTGGAAGCTTGATTGGTATCGTTGATGACTGGTCGTCCGGATTAGGTTTCAGTCTTCTTACTCGGGCAAAACATGCAAGTTTGGCCTAAGGTTAACGTTAATTAAATGTATTAGTCACATGACATGTTCTTCAAAAATACAATTCCAGAATAAAGTTTATTTACTGCCTATTTCTAATGAGTTTAAACTATTAAGTTTAAACTCATTGAAGAGAAAAATTATTAAGAGAAAATTATTAAGTGATCTTATGTCACTGAATGACCCTGTGATAACACTGAGATCTATTTTCGGAGCATATTTCAAATTCATGTTTTATATCAGAGAGAACAGCCCTTAAAACCAGAAATCACAAGTTTCTATATATTATATAACTTTCCTTTCCCTTTTTTATATTATACTCTTTCTAATCCTTTCTTAAACTTTGATATTTGTATTTATTATATAGATGCTGATATTTAAGTATAGCTTTATTCATGTGAAAAGCCATTTCAAGATTTGTTCTAAACCGACAGCAACCAATCAGAAACGTGAAACGATTTTTTCACACGTTCGAAATACGTTTCGTCCAATCAGCGTCATTGTGTGTTTACGTACGAGCAAATTCGCTCACGGCCTGCAAATAGGCCTGGAATGTTTACGCTAGGAGCCAAGTATTTATTGTTTGCCGCCTTTTTCTGTTTTTTTTTTCACAATGTCCAATGTTGAATAAAGGTTTGAAATGCTCGACAAACCTATTGAAGATTACATTCTTGAGCAAGAAAACAAAAACACCCGTGCCAAAACTGACAGAGATGCAAGGTTGCTCATTGACTTTTTGAGACAAAAAAATGAGCTACGAAATCCAGAAGAATTGCCTCCTGAAGAGTTAAATGGTTATCTATCTGAGTTTATCTATAGTGTAAAAAGAAAGGACGGCGAAGATTAGGAACCTTCTAGCCTTCGAGGATTTATATCGAGCTTTCATCGACAATTAAAGGAGCATAAATATACCGCGAATATTATTGAAAACATTGCATTTGAACAAACACGAAAATCTCTCCAAGCACGATGTAAAAAATTAGAGAAAGAAGGCAAAGGGAACAAACCAAATGCTGCTCAAGCATTGACTGATAACGAGATAAACACTCTGAATTTCAAATGCTGAGGCGCTTCTGAACACACCGTGGTTGTTTAAGTCACTGCACTTTGGTCTGCGAGGTTGTGATGAGCACAGACAAATGTGTTGGGAGATATTAAATTCAATGGCGGCAGCAGACGGAACGGAGTATCTGGAATATTCAGAGCGTCAAACAAAAACGAGAACAGGCGCGGAACCTCGCAATATAAGACCCGTAAAGCATTACCAAACAGCTCACGCGACAGAGATCCAGTCGTAGTTTACAAAACGTATTGCGAGAAGAGACCAGACGCCTTGAATAAACCTGAACCCGTTCTCACTTGGCATAAATCACATCAAAACTCCATCATCCGGTAAAAGTTGGTTTAAAGCAAATACTATGGGAGTAAACAATCTTGTCCAATACTCTCGACTCTTAACGATCCGTGAACACCGCTAGGTTTCGTTCGAATCGTTCGAATGGTAAAAAAGTTAATTTACTCTCTGTCTACGTTATTCGTTGTAATTTGATCATTATTCAACTTACTGATGACGTAATCACCTGTACAGAGGTCTAGTCTATTCGCACCATTCCTACGAATCGTACGGACCATTCGATATCCGTTCGAATGGTTAGATTGACTTACTGATGACGTCATCACCTGTACCGAGGTCCACTATAATATTCGTACAATTCGTACGAATCTTTGGAACCGTTCGATTCGTGAAGTCTCTCGTATTCGTTCGAATGGTTAGACTCGTTAAAATCGAATAAGTCGATGACAGTTAATCAATGTGTTTCCCTCGTTCTTTAGAATAACAACGTATACAGCTAATAGAAATATGTCTAACAATGTACATGAAAAACTCCTAGATCTTTCACATAATCTTTCCGTCGTTCTTTAAAATAATTTGCGTGCTTTGTGCAACATGATTGTATTCGGAATATGTGCTTCGTGAGAGAGACGATAGTTAATCTATGTGTTTCACTCGTTCTTTAGACTAACAGAAATGTGTCTAACAATGTACATGAAAAACGCCTAGATCTTTTGCATCATCTTTCCGTAGCAAGATTGTATTCGCAATGTGCTAATTCGTGTGAGAAACGATAGTTAATCTAGGCCCCTAGTGTGTTTCTCTCGTTCTTTAGAATAACAACGTATAGATCAGTGGATCTAACAATATGTATGAAACACGCGTACTGTGTGTAGAGGTGTATAAATCTTCTGGTTCTTCCAAATTTAACTTGGTTTGTGAGAGTGAGACTTAATACGTTTCCCTTCTTCTTTACTCAACACGATTCATTCAATTACACAACGCGAAGAAGTATATATGTGTTAGTTTACCCCGGCCTTTCTTCAAAGCTCGAAACGCTGAAGTTATTAAGACTATACTCTACAGTTACTAAATTACATTTCAATTTAATATTCTAAGTACTGTATATCATGCACTGACACTGTCATGTTTGTTTCTAATTGTCGTTTAACTTGCGTGACTTTATGTGCCGGGGAATTCAATATGCCTATATATGCCCAGGTTTACACGGTAAGCTGTACCTACATTGATACTATGAACCTCACGAATGTAGCCATTCGAACGATTCTGAATGCATTCACGAATCGAACGGTTCGTACGATTCGTATGAATCTACGAAGACATTCACTTTGAGCGAACTACGAACCCATTTGATACTATGAACCTCACGAATCTGACCATTCGAACAAATCTGGGACCAATCACGATCGAACGGTTCGAACGATTCGTATACGAATCGTACGAATCTACGAAGACATTCACCTAGATTGATACCATATGAACCTGACTTATAGTCTTAAACATATCCACAACAAGCCACAGGACAAGTCATATGCTATCTACTCACGAATCTAACGATCGCCCTTACGATTCACGTTTCGAACAAGGTCGAAGGTATTGGACATAAATCGAACATGGCAACGAAAGCAGGACTCGACTGTCAGCGACTTACCAACCACAATGCTAGCAAAAGAATGGTCCAAAAACTAAACGACAACGACATTCCTCCTACTCATATATGCAGCTATCGGGTCACAAAAACATTCAAAGCATCAAAAACTACAGCCACGCTCTGAACAACAGCTGAAAACCATGTCCAGAATTTTGAGTGGCTCATCCTCGACAAAACCTGTAGTTCTTGAGTGTACGAGCCAAAACAACAAACGAGCCTTAGCTCAAGGTGAAACAATGTCGTGCAGCAGTTATCATTCATTCTCAGGATTACCATCATCAAGTAATCCAAACACCTGCAGCTACAGCTACAGGCCTCTTCAGTGGAACTGTGATTAACGGAGGTCACTTCAATATTAATATTAATACCGTCAACAAGTCTCCCACAACAGTATATCGACAACAAAACGGCATTCGTTTAAACGTATTAAAATACTTGACTCGTCGGGCGAAGATATAGTCCTCCTTTGTTCATAGATTAAAAAATTATATATATATTAAATACTGTTAACTACTTCCTTTATTTTGAAATCTAGTAAAAGTTCTAAAAGTTTGTTTCCTGTTATGAAAAAAAAACCGATTCTTGTTTAAAATTACAAGTTTGCTTGATAATATATTCTAAAGTTTGTAAAATGTTTGCATGATAACGCTATAAATGATAAAATAAAGTGCCATTTTAAGACCGTTTTGAATAGAAAACCTCTATGTATCTATAAAATAAACAAATTTGTTCATGGGAAGTGCTTTTGTATGGTATTTACGCGCTTGTTAATTTGTTTTCGCAAAACTCGATCACTCGCTCGTTAGTTTTGCGAAAACAAATTAACGCGTGCGTAAATACCATACGTCAGCACTTCACATGAAGAAATCTCTATATATCATATATCTTTCCTATTTTATATATACTCTTTTACATCTAATGTTACACATGTAAATATAGCAGTATATTGTTGTTTTTCGTTAGTTAAGTAGTCTTTTATACTAGTTAACTTTTAATTTTATATACGCGTATAGCAATACCTGTAATTAGGTCATGCAAATAAATTAATATCAAACTGAATATTTCAAGACATTTACGAAGCGATTCAGTTTAAATTTTACATTAAATCAAAGCTCGCAAAATGCAGAACAACATACCTACAGTACATACATCGTAAATTCATTGTCATATAGTTAAAAGCAATAATCTTTCAACTATTTTTGGCGTATTGTACAAAAAATATAATAAAAATTAAATTTATCGCGTTACCATGGCAACACTGACGGAAACGCGAGCCTGCGTTCAGTGTTGATCAATTACTAATACTTCATATTAAATCAATGTTTGGAAAACACATGCGAGTGGTTGCTGCATGCATGTATTTCTAGTTTTAGTATAAATAGCTGCATGTATGTCTTGACTTAACTTTATATCTTGATTCCCTTCGGGCTTTTCAATTTGTAAAAAATGTCATGACTCATGATCATGCAAATTAACTCTTGTTTATATTCTTGTTTATTTAATTACATATTGGTTCCTCTCCGTCTTTACTCGTCCGATGCGTACGTGATTAATTATGCAATCCAATCAGATTTCAGATTTTGCTCAAAACACATTTACATACCTGAATATTCGTTCGTTCTCGTGCTACGGGGCAGGTCAACTATTAGCATTAAGGTATGTGTATATCTTGTCGAACTAACGACAGAATTAAGAGTAGCGTTGGTGCCAACAAGCCAGCAGGAGAGCCATGGGTGAGAGGGTGGGATGATTCGTCCCTAATGAGGCGTCCTGTTGCCAACTGGCACCTTTACCTAATTAGTTTAGTCTTTTATAGTACTGATGACGTCATCGCGAGGGATATTCAATGATGTTTGAATATTGCCAGCTTTGCAACAGATGGCACCACCATGGAAATTCATCCCTCTTGGGAAATTAAAATATATAATAAATTTGCTCTAATGGGAAGGTGGCTTAATTTCTTCTGACACCGAATAACACAAGATTAAGTAATATTTTAACTGTTAAAGACGTGATCATATTCTCATCATAATCAACCTGTGATAAAAACAGTGCACCCACACTTTTAACCGCGTTTGTGCAATTTTGAAAGCTGGCAACATTTAAAGATTTCTTAATATAGTTTATTTCTAATCTTCAATTCTGTAGGATTATACGGGAGGTCATTTTTTCAATACTTTATTATATTCGCAATAGAGACAGTAAACTCCCCCAAACGTTGCGAATATAATAACATTTTGAACATTACCGTAGTGCCGTTGGAAGAAACTTTGTATTGGAGGGGGCTGATTAGTCAGTGGCGATTATTACGTCATTTTTTCCCTCTCAAACTTTACAGATTATCGCTAGTTGACAAATTATTGGCGGCTGCATGAACCACCCCCGCCCCCCTTCTCACACCCGTTGTCTACGACCCAGTTGAAAAAAACCTTCTAGTGAGAGTTTTAGCAAGACAAATTTGAAGACTTCACTTACATTTCCATTCGTGTAAATAAAGACAGATGCAGCTCGCAAATTTCGATGTATAAATCTTCTTTGGTGTAAAAATGATATAGCCTCACCAATTTCTGAAAGATATCTTATGCCAATCTCTACTGTACATCCAAACGCGCCAATGAACTCTTCTAAGTTCCCCATGTCACCAACTTCTGTGATCTTAAAAGAAATGCCGTTGTTCAGTAACAGGTACAGATTTTCAAACAAAAATTTAGCTTGCAGTATACCTTTTCAGAATGCATATGTACAAAGTAGAAGTTTCTGTAAATTTGAAAGTGAGATTATGCTCTTAAATTCAATGAATTATTTCTCAGGATATAGCAATATGTACTTTTCACTTACGGTAGGAAAATGTAATACAAATATATCTACTCTACTGGAAACTGTAGTACCTTTTAGAAACTCAATTAATTACCCGGACGAGAACATTTGTTATTTAATAATATCATTCACTGAATTTTCTCATACCAATTCCACTTTTTCAATATGAACAATTCTTTTGGTAATGACAGCCAATGAAGGAAATTTAAGCTCTGCTACTTTCTGGATGTCAGGTAACGATGCCGGGATAATCTCTTTGATAAAATGACTCTAAATAATGAAATAACTCTAAATTCCAGTTCACCCACAGGCCAGGGAACATGGTTAGCCATTTCGGAATTTCAGAATATAACTCTTTTATTTATAACGGAATTATATATAAAGTTCGGGATTTTTTTTATTCTTGGTAAAACAACCACGAAAGCACATATAAGATCATCACTATTGGTCGATGAAAATTGAAAACGGACGACTGTAGCCGCTATACTTTCAGGGCTGTCACACCTCTGCCTGAAGACCCCCGCAAGAGTGCTGAAAAGAACTGGGGTCTTCATTAGCTTGAACAGCCTCCAAAATACGACAACGAACAGCAGCACACTCTTTACTCCATGTTGAATTGTTTTCAATTTTCCCCCGTGAAGACGAGAATTCACCGCGTGCATCATGGCGTGTGACGTCATTAAGCACTAAGTCCATTATATATGGCATTCCTTTTTATAACAGTCAAGCATGCATATAAGATGGTCTTAAAAACTCATCATGCGAGAAGATAAAAAAATTCAAAACAAGTAAGTAAACGTGACAAGTTGGCTGATTCAAACGTATTGAATTACGTTTGGCACGCGAGTGGAGCGCGTATGAATTAACCCTTTGAGCGCTGGCGCTTTCCTCTTGACGAGTAAAATTATCTGTCAGTGGAGAAAGAAAAAATAATATAGTAGGGCGCATTGGGGTGCAATGTAACTTAGGCCCTGTTCACATGAACCCGGGACAGCGTTATGTCTCGGGGCAAGCAATTGTCGCGGGACAAAAATTGTCTCGGCTCCTTAATAAAAGAATAGTGCTGTTCACATGATATTTTACTTGCCCCGGGACAAGAATTGACCCGAGTGCCTCGCCTCTGTAGACATGGACACTCGCCTAGCCGGGACAACTTTTCCTCATGTGAACACTTTGCCCCGTGGCAACTTTGTCCCGGGATAATTACATTTTTTTGTAAAACGATCAAAATCGCGGCTAAAATTACATTTAGAGCACGTTGGACTCCACAAAAACTTGTTATTTGATTGAAGATACCATTAGAAATCTATAAGTGATGATTCTAATAATATTAAAATAAAATTGTCGCTAATATCATGTTTGAAACCAAGAAGTGTAGCATGCTACTCAAAAAATTTGATCTGGTCAATCAGAAACAATGAATTGAGCACATTTTACTACGACTGATAATCAACTACGTTCTATTTGTAAATATCATAACATAAAATACGACTTGCGTTTATCAGAATGTTTTTTTATTTAGCAATATTTCACCGTTTCACGTTGACGGGAATATTTTATGATTCCCGCGTAATTTATTTATAGGCATGACCCGCGCTATAGTTTTGTTCATGTAAACAGAAGATATCAGTACCCCGGGTCAATGACTTGTTGCGGGGCAGTTGTTTATTCCTGGATCATGTGAACAGGGCCTAAATGTGATGTCTGGTTACGAGAGAAATAGGCTGTTTTCCCGAGATTCCTCAATGTCTTCCGAGACAAAGTCGAGCTAAGCTTCCGGACTTGAGAGAACACACGACGGGCTATTTTCTGGAAAACACAAAGCACAAAATTTAATATCTTGAATAAATAGCACTTATACATCGTCAACACTCCACTGAGTAGCGATATCAGAGGCATTTAGACATTCACCAAAACAACCGTTCGCATTGCAGCCAGTTGTCGGTATGGCTGGCAGAGGACTCTAAAAAATGAACAAAAAATGTTTTGTTATCATAACACCTGCGGAAAATTTCCCTTGAAAACCTCAAAAGAATTTAATTTAAAATGACATTGTTGCGATTCGCAAACATTTCTATCAATTTATAGTGCATTCTTTTCTATAACAGTCATGCATGCATATAAGATGGTCTTAAAATTAACTCATCAATAATTAATGAGGAAAAGACCAAGGAAACCACTACTGTGACGTACGGTGGTTTTATACGTCATAATCTGCAATGTAGTTTTATGTTATGTTGCTTTCGGGTAAAACGTTTCGAAACTTTGCCGTGAAACGTACTGCACTAGAGAAAACTGAAAAACCCGTTTTGGCGACAGTAGTTTGCTCGAAAATACGGCAAAATAAATTTGCTTCACAGGCAGAAGCTAGCTAGATTTTGAGTTATATTTTGATCAAGCCATATTTGCTGTAGGTATTGCCGGGAGGGGGCGGGAAGATATTTCTAAACTCATGGTAAATTTTTCATGGCTCCTCATTCTTTCAAAATATTTTTTTCATGCCCCCCCCTTTAAATATAATACATTTTCATAGCCCCTCCCCCCCTCTTCCCCTGTGATTGAACTTGCATTCCAAACATATACTATAGATCACAGGCGGCCCAATCTCGCAAGCGACTGTATAAACTTGTATATTATAGGAATGTATATTATAGCAGAAATATGTAATAAAATATAAATTTTAAAATGAAATTGACTTGTCTATTCGATAGTGTGTGTTCTCCTTTTATTCCTCTTTTGTTGGACTAATATTTTCCGAGACTTTGCTCTCAAATCAGTCGCGTTAACAGTAGTCACTTCAACGGTCAATATCTCGAAAACTGCCTGGGGATCACCGGGATCATTCCAGCAGATTTAAAGCTTGTACTTTTGTCTTGACGACTACCAAAAATGAAGAAAATCGAACCATGGGAATTCTAGATATTTCATTTAAACATTGTAAACATATTTAGACTTGAGTCAACACGTCGCGGGGAGTCGACTAACTTCAAACATCAAAATAAGTATAGGTTATTTTGAGGTAACGAGGGGATATGTGATTTATTCACCGAGGCGCGTAGCGCCGAGGTGAATGAACACATATCCCCGAGGTGCCTCAATATAACGTACTT